GGGGGGGTGGTATATAGTATCACCAATTTAATAGCACAAGACTATGCGACGGAAAATAGTGCAATACCTCCCGAAGAAACTTGAAAATAAAGCTATGAATAACGCGAGTATTAATTTGGGCTGAGCACGTAAATGCAGATATATATATATATATATTCATGTATGTACTTAAAATTGCATCGATTAATAATAAAATTAAAATGGAGCCCAAATTCTACCAATCAAAAGCTTATCGATGTAGGATTGAGAAAAAGTCCACGATTGAATAAAGGCAGTGATATGAGTGGTGGTGCGGGAGAGAGGGAGGGAGAGAGAAAAAACGTCGAGGAAGAGTACGAAATGTTGAGAATCAGTTCAAATTTTCGATCCACCATGTCCACCTGCTCGAAACTGCTGCTCAAACCTCTGGGTGATAGCACTCATCCGCGATGCTTAAAGGTGATTGAATTATGGATAAAACCTTAGTGGTCGCTTATGTCATACCAACACAGTAGCCTTTTGACACTATTCAAGAAGTTCATTGAAGATGACCTCGAGTATCCATAATTGATTTACAGTGGGGAAGACAGCTTTCGGAGTCCTGGTTGCTCAACAAATTGTACGGAATCTCATTGATAATATGGTACCAATCATATTAGATCATGTTGCCTTCTTAAGCATTGGGAGTGGGGGGGGGGGAGGGGAACGATACCGGTGAATGAGAACTAAATATTGTAGACACGCACTTAATGGCAATTTAGAGCGCGATTCATGAAGTTTGAAGTTTAGAAAGTGAGCTTCCTGTCTCGCCAACACTCTACAACTCGAATCCCCAACTCAAATAAATCGAGACTCCTTGATATCTGGACGCTGGTCTCAAGGCCTTTTGTTTCTCTCACCTTTTTCACAAGTCGGTCGTTCTGCAAGCCACAGTTAAAAATACCATTTTTTTTGTTTTACTGAAAGAAATAATAAAAGCACTCAAAGTCAAGATCAATTTAAGGTTGACGGCTTCAAATATTAGCCATTTTTTGCTCATAATTTTTAACCAACACGCAAGGTGTTGGAGCGGTGCCAAATGAGAAAGTAACCTGACCTAAAAGAAGATATTCGTCAAAGTAACGGATTAGTTGGCAGGTTTACGGGTGGTCAATCACAAATCGAAAAACAATTATTCCTCAAATGATGGTCGTTTAAATACGCTGCGTTATTTCAGCACTAATGGAGTAGTGGAGTAAAAAATAATAAAATAAAATAATTAAATGTTTCTTTTTGCAGGTGATTGTTGGGTGGTAGCTGCTCTAGCCTCAATGGTGACTCAACCAAGACTGACAATGCGATCCATTCCACAGGGTCAATCGTTCCGCGCAGAGTGGTACACGGGCTGCTTCTGCTTTCGTTTCTGGCAATTCGGCAACTGGGAGGAGGTCATCATCGACGATCGACTTCCCGTTCGACCTGGTGGTCGTCCGCTCTTTATTCACTCCTCCCGGCATACGGAATTTTGGCCAGCTCTTCTGGAAAAGGCATATGCAAAGTGCGTGGAAAGTGTTTCGTGTATTTTAACTTCTCCCGTGATAATGTCTAATAAGAATTAGGTTTTAGTGACTGAAAGCAAGGAGACAAACGCTTTCATTCGTTAGACTAGCCAATGTCAAGACCGAAATCTTGATAATCATGCAATCAAGAATTTTGTGGATAATACTACTACTGAAACACTGGAGTACCATAGACAAGTATTCAGGTTACACGATGTTGCTTTTTTGCGGTTTTACGCTGGAGTGCTCATTAAGTATTAAAAGGCATGAACTGTTCTAGCTTAACAATAGGGACAATTTTCCTGGTGTTTCAAAATCGATTTTCTCTGGAGACACGACTATATCTAAACAATTCCATAAATTTCATGAGAAGTTCTAAGGAAATGCTTCAAATATGATTTGCCAAATAAAGATTAAGTTTTAGATGTTCTATTTATTAATTATTTTTAATTCATTTTGTCATATTTACCAGTGATTCTCTATCTGAAAAAAAATAATTTTAATGTTTACCGAGAATCTGGAAGAATGGCCGATCAGATACTTGTACGTGGGGATACATTTTTTCTTTCAAATATGATGAAACAAATTCATTTATTAATAAAAAACAAAGTCTTGAGACTATTGAGAAAAATTCACCAAAACCAGGTAATTATTGCAGCAATGTCTACTTGGCATTGTAATTAAAATGCCATCTGGTGGCGTGAGTATGTTTAACCATGAACAATTCAGAATATCTTTCAAATTCGTTCTTAGACTCTTGGTTTAGCATGTTTCAAGATTTATTCCTGATTTCGAAGAACATTTATGCAACAGGTGGACAACTTTTCAATTTTTTCCCTCACAAATAAGACTATTTTTTCATTTTTGTATATATATATACAAGCACCAAATTTGAAGGGTTATAAACAATCACTGAACTTCGCTCTAATTAGTCATACTCTGATAACGCACTGTCAATAAACCACAGAAATCACAACCTTTCCATCCACATTTTAACGGTCAGTGAGTCACCAACTTTTATGATCTCAACTGGAATCGCACTTACACCTAAATTACTATTCTCGTTTTTTTAAGTGCAAATAAGTTAAACTTGCGTGATTAAATATTGTACTCATGTATTAGCGAGAACAATTTCCCCCGGGAACAACTATTAACTTTACCTGGATGGAATTAATTATTTATTCGTGCGAATTGAAAAAGCTGATTGTTTTATTTTCACAACTTTGCCTAAAAAGCAGTTGTTGAATTTTTGTGAACAGGAAAAGTGTGAATAAAGAAACTGCTCAGAGATTTATTTCGCAAGAGTTGGCGTGTTCATTGTTAACTTTATAATTTTTTCATTTAATTCATTAGCTTATCGGCTCAGGTACTAACTAAAACTCTTGGATTGTAAATTAGCATCTTTTGTTTAAAACACAACAAATAGGAACGCGCCATCAACAATTTTGATTCTAAAAGTAATGAGATTTCGAGGTGAATGAGAAATTTAGCAACCACCAACTTTGGCTTACTATTAGATATGTGAAAATCCATAGGGAAGGAAAAATGTCTCCCTTCCACTATATTAAAGCATGAAAATTTACCAAGCTCAGGAAGTGGAGTGTTTATAGGGCCCAAAATTGTGTAGATGAAGGATATACTAGAGCCGCTCCCTTCTGGACTAGCAGAAGATCTCGTCGATCAATCCCCCCCCCCCACCTCTTGATTGATATTCCGTATACTAGCTTTACAAGTTAATCTATTATTTTTATTTCACTAGATATCACTTTTCCAAACTCCCACAAACATTTCTTGTGGAGGAAGAGGCCACTATCATGGTTGCACCCTTGTCGTGGTAGAAGGTCAAATTGGTTCCCACCTCATTGATATGTCTAAAAGGTCAATAATTGGTATAGCTAAACAACTAACTGAGATCGACAGATTTTAAATTTCGCGAAGGGAAAGTGGGAAATATCTTCAGTAGTACTCTAATGCGACTATTTAAAAAGGCTAATTTTTAATAGAACAAAGAAGCATTCCACACCTGGCGAAGTCGTTTCATCTGCGCGGAAAGCTCATTTTGCGCATTGGCTAACACAACTCACCACCCTTGAGAGAGTAAAGACCTCCATTCCACCAATTTTAACTGCATTTGTAAATTTCTCAGAGTGAAGGAGAGCTTATTTATTCATTTATTTTTTTTAAATCTTGCATGAAAATGTACGACATGAAAGAAGGAATATTTAATCAGTTTTACACAAAAAAAGCGTTGCGTAGAACGGTTCTAACCAGCACCCAATCATGCTTGGATATTACTATTTAATACGGTTAACTTTTAGCTGCAAAGTTAATTTAGTTTTTGAGGAAAAAAGTCCCAATTCCCTAGACCACATCCACTACCATTTTACCAGATTAGATTTATTAATCTATCATTAAGGTAATTCAATTATTACTCTACCTATAAATAGTATGAAAATATCTATTTAATTATTTGAAATAATTATGAATAAATATTTATGTAAGAATATTTCTTGCCAACAAATTATGCGGCTACTTCTGGGGAAATCTTTTTTCTTCCCAATCCTTTGAAAATTAGTCTGGTAGGAGCTATAGTTTGCTATTTTCGAAAAGTGTAATTTCAATGTTGTATTATATCATTTAATTACAAATTGTTAACATTTTGAGTGTGTAAAATTGCATAAAAGCAATGAGAATGGATATCATTATGCTTGACGAAGTGCCTAAGAATTTCATAAAACAAAAAAATACGATAGATTGCTTTTTACTTTAATATGACTCTTTAAATATTTTAGTGAATTCAATTGGGCATTATCTATTACAGGTGGGGAAATAGATGCGCATTAAGGTAGCATTCAAACACCAAATTAAAACACCTGGATTTTGAATTTCGAATTTGCCTCCTATTCCCAGCTACATACTAATTGCATTTGAAGACATCATTCTTTAAGAACTGCTTTTAACAGCAAATGCATGTACTGTTAGCAAAACTGTTGTTGAATTGAGGCGTTTGAAGTTTCTTCGACAGGAGTATATTTTCAAAGATTTAAAAAATCAATTGACGCGCACATATTCTTTGATGAGGACTCGGCCCCCCCCCCCATAGCAGAGGGCCTCCTTGTCAAGGAAAACCCCCTTCAATCACGATGACCCAAACAGAAAGACTAGAGGGAGACTAGAGGAAAGTGCCCAAACACCTCACCCCTTACTACAATTGTGTCTATTTGGATGCATTTTGATTGGTCAAAAATGATATTGATGTGCCGAGGAGGAGGAGGAGGAGGAGGAGGAGAGGGGGGTGATATTTGTTGAAACCGATCATCAAAGCCTTTCATTCCGTCTTATTCATTTAATAGTGTCGTCATTATAGATTAAGTAAAGTCCAATTTGGCTATATATAGGACAAAGTTACAGTAATTAGCATAATGTTAAGAAGATTGAGAATCAGCGGAAATACGGAGCAAGAAACATTGAAGACAGAAACAGTTATCCTACCCAGATCTGTCATAATACTCTGAAGAACCCCAAGGTAAGGTCAGCTCTGATTCAATTATTAGCGTTATCGAATCGATAGCAACGTGCATGTTGGCCTACAACACCGTCAATCACTCACTAGATTTGTCACGATTTCATAAAGTTTAATAAGGTTAATTCCTCACTCTTAGATTGGCGTGGATTCTCTTTCACACTAGTAAGTTGAACTTCCCAAAAAAGCATATCCCTGACCAATCTTGACCAATTCTGGAAAACTATTTGAATTTTAATTGGTCACTAAGATGGACTTAGCATGTCAACGCTAAAATGCCTATTTGACCTTAACCTTAATGCATCGTGATGCAGTACAGTTTAAACAATTTCAAATATAAACATTCAAATGTAATTGAGGGAGGAGGGCGGGGAGGGGGTCACGCAAAATGAACCGCCTCTTGCATACTCCTACTCTGATATGATGCAGTGTCAACATCCCTTTTGACAGGATGACTCCAATCCAAGTTATTTGTCTCCTAATAACCTTTAATTTGTTCACATAAACAAATTTAAAGTAATTTACCTGTAAATAATTAATGCATCAACAGCGGCAAACAAATATGATAGAACTTTAAAGTACAGTGCGTGGGGAATAGTTTAGTAGAAGGGTTCATGAACGTTTCAATTTTGATTACCAATTTTTAGCACTTAGCATTATGTAATAGTAATACCGTCCGAGAACACTGTTTGTTGAAAAACAGATTAGCTCTAAAATTTAAAAAAGATGCTTATTTTAAGTATTTCCGTTTTGCTCCATATGTTTCGCACGATATTTGAGCAACTATGATCAGTGTGTTTTCAACAGGACTTCGAACATGTGTCAGCCAACGGGTGTTTGATAAAATATTATTATTATAATAAATGGAAGGCGTTTTGATGGTTATCATTAGCCTTATAGTTGACTACAGGCTTCACAAAGGGAAGGAACATCAAAGTGAAAAAAAAAGTTGAGAGGGGGGAACAGAAGAGTGCTTCAAAGACGAAGGCAGATAGGATGGAAAAAAGGTGAGGTGAGTACTGTGAAAGTAGTCGAATATGACATAGAGTGGGGTCATGACAGTTTGAAGTCAAAAGTCTACTGAGTGGGGTCATGACAGTTTGAAGTCAAAAGTCTACTGCCGGTTAATAGACTCTTTTGCCGTATGAGCATACGTTGCCCAGGGTGCACCACGTGGGGGTAAGTCTATCACACACCCCTGTTTGATAAAATATTGACTTCCTTGTTCTCAACAAGGCGGCCCAGGTGCCACTCTCCTTCAGTGTATTTGTTTAGTGCATCGATGGAAGATGTCACAATTGTTAGTCGGCACAGCTGAGAAGTCAGAAAAATCACGAGGTCAATCACCGTTCCTGCACACTGAGCACCCGGAAGAAAGAGCCACTCTCGCTGAGTCTGACAAATGACGTGGTGGCACGAGAACTGAAATTTCTCACAAGGGCGACAATACGACGGCTCCCTCCATCCTAGACGAGAGTTGGAAATCGTCTGCTTAAATGGGATTTTACCATCACCATACCACCACTGTCAACGATTTTGATCTGCTTTCGCAATTAGAAGAAAGTACAGATATTATCGGATAAATCAATAGCGATTATTCATCCACATAAATTGCATTAACATTAGGCATTAAAGCAAACAATTAGACCCATATCCCATTGAGTTAATGCAGGTGGTATTTTGTTCAGCAATCACAGCAACTAGATCATTTCCCACCACAAGGATTCGGATTAGCCAGGGCCACCTTAGTTGGGGCACCTTTTGGACTGTTATGAACAACTGAAATTGGCCTTTGTTTGTCGAATTAGGGAAAGGGGATCTTTCATCAGTTAACTTGAACTTGAAATGAAGGCGGCGAGAACACAGAAGACATCGTGAACCCTGAAGCGGGAAAGTCCCTCTTCTACACCTCAGTATAATCTCAATTTGGATCATTTTTAAAAAAATTTTCATTATCATCATGCTGTCGCTTCCCGAATCCAGTTTCACTGTTGGTCAAACTTGACATTCCAGATAACACCATTAGACCATTCGGGCATAGGGCTCTTAACCAAAACATGGCACTTGTAGGAAACACTCCGATCTTAAAGAACAGGCTTCACGTACATCTAAAAGAACTAGTGTTGTCATTTCGTCGTTAAGACACCCGGAGAATTGTAGT